TCTGGGTCGGGAGCACTTTATCATCAAAACTTGCTATTGGCAAGTGTTACTTTGCCCTTGACTGTAGGTTTGATTGTTGTCCCACAGTTTGTGCAGTGTGTTTTCCAAAGTGACGCTACAAAGAAGACTGAGGAACAGAGAGAAGCCAGTTATCAGACCTGTGGGGCTCATAGCATACCACCCTGTGTGAGAAGGGTCTCTGGAGCTGGGGATGCAGGGCACGGTGGAAGCCCTCTCTGTGGGCTCAGAGTGCTTCCTTACCTGGGAAATTCTGAAACTTCTGTATCCCAGAGAATCTGCAAATGCCCTCCTGCATGTTCTCCTCAAAACTGATATTTTGTACCTAAGACAAGGATAGGGTCCACTTTTGAAGTATAAGCAAAAGCTTGGGGAGAAAAATGGGGAAGACTGGTTGAGTAGCACTTTTTTCCCTCTTCATTTTCTCTTTCTTGTAAAGTAACAAACCTTAGCTATGGAAGTGAGTGCTGCTCTGATTTCATGAATAAGCTGAGTTAGCAATGTACAGCACTACTAGCATTCCCCAAAAATGGAAGACTGTGCCTCTTCCCCCAGATCAAACTTCTCCAAATCTCATCTAAGTGATTTCAAAGAACCTTTTCAAAGAACATGAAACAAGTCTGTAAGACGAGACTTGTGGGTAGAAATCAGGTGAATAGCAAAGCAGATCTGCCTACAAGTTCAGAAACCCCCACAACCTTTCCTTTGCAAGAAAACTACCAGAACCAAGCACTTCTCTTGAGCATTCTGCCTGACCCTGAAGAGAATTAAGTGTTGCTTTCCTCTACCATTGGATGAAGCAGGTTGCTGCAATAAGCTTGACCTCTCCCCACTTCATCTCTGTGTTTTTCCTCGGAACCCTCTCTCACCCCTTCTCTTGCTGTAAGTTTAGAGAAGCAATAGATTACTGTCACGTGTAGAACCCTCACTGCAAGGGCTGTGCCGGGGGCCTTAGACTCTCTCCCAGCCCTGGTCTGTCACACAAATTCTTACCATGGCTCAGTGCAAAGTAACTGCTGTGCTGGGTTAACTGTTGTGCCACCAGTGCATCTTGCTCTTGTTGATTCCTGTGGAAGCTCTGATTTCATATTGCTTGATATCAGGGTCATCATTTACACACCACCTTTTCACAAGTTAAATCTGTTCATTCCTCAAAACAGGAGCAGAAAGCGCATTTCCTTGCCACGTCCCAGCAAAACTGCCTTCCTGATATGGTGCAGGGCTACTTAAAGGCATTTGTAAGGGTGGAACTGTACATTGCTATATTTTATTGGCTTATTTGGAGCTTGAAATGGAGAAGCATGCAGGAAAGTGGGACACCAGTGCCTAAATGCTCCTGACATTTATACAGAAAAACACTCAGGGATTTACGTTAGGAATGGAGTGTGTGAGTAGGTCTCTTCTGTGTCCCTGAGAGTAGCTGAGGAATGCTGTACTGTTCATTCGCCACATCTTCAGATTTTACACATAATTCTCTAAAAAATGTGGGCAAATTGATTAATAAAAGCTGCACTTTGGAAACAGTACATCTTCTCTTCCTTATCAGAGAGAATTTTGTGTGCCATACCTTCAAATGTACTAGAAAATCCCTGCCTTTATAATGTTGCACAGTGTTTGTGTTTATTATTGAATTCCTTTTCACACTGATTACAAGGTGCTGGCTGCCCACAAAAGATTAAGAATCCATGTGGGTTGTTTATCCGAGCTCAAATCTTGTATACAAATAAAATCCTTCGGCAGTTTTAGCTGCGCTTTGAAATTCAAATGGTTAAGAGAAAAGCTCCTTAAGCAGATTGCAAGTAGTTAGATATGTTATTGTATATAAACTGTAAATGCATGCTTACAGACAGACATGCATAATGTGATAGTGGAGTTTGCTTTTCAGAGTCATGGGTGGATTTAAAAAGTCCCCAGTTCCAAACTAGCAGAAAGTTGCACGGGATCTCTCTCTGCTGCAGATAAGATCTGTATTTTGGGCTTGTTCTTGAAAAATCACAGATGCTCAGTGTTTGTTTAAACTCATGTACAGAGGCTGTGTTTCACAACTCATAGACTTCAGAGCAGCACATTGAAGTTAAGATGTGGAATGCTACTGAAATTCAATAGGAACTGGGCAGCTAGCTCTTTCAGACCCCTTGGAAAATCCCTGTCCAAATGTGGAGGAGGAAAAAGCTGCAAAATAGATTAGAATCTTACTTGGAACAACTTTTATGAACATCTGAATGTGAAATATTCTTAAGGCCCTTCCTGTCCCAACTCTCCCCTCTCGTTCAGTGCTAAACTCATCCTCAGCTCTGTGGAGCAAGATGCTGTGCTTTAAAAGCCAACACGTTTCAATGTATAGAAAAGCTATTTTTACTTGGCCCAGGATTGAAACTAACTTTTCTTGGGCTTTGAAGCAGGGTTAGTTTTCAAGAAAAGTTCTATATTTTAATGTAGACAGCAGGCTGGAAATGCCAGCTGTCTGAACCTGTTCAGCGGTATAAAACTTCAGAATACGTCCCAAGACAGAATGGTTACTGGCCAGAGAGTAGAACAGGTAATTAAAGGTGTTTAATAGGTGCATTTAACAAATAGCTCTGTGGTTTATCACATAGTTCTGCAGTTTATCACAGGAATATCACTTCCAGTCATTCCTGGCTGGATGTAAAATATTCATGCTAGCCCTAGCTTTTTTTTTCCTGCTTGAATATAATGTTTCATGGGAACAGTAAAACCTATAAAAGTCAGAGATCAAAACTGAATGTTATTTCCAAAATACCAATGATACACAGAATGCTGTCATGGAAACCTTCCTTACAGAGCCCTTGGCATCATTGGCCATCATCCCACACTGTGCTGTGGAGGTAATTCATCTGTCACACACCAGAATATGTCGTCTATAAAGTGTAGTCACAATAAAAATACAGATGTCAGCCAATGATACTTTTCATGGACAGATGGCAAAGCCTGCTTTTCATACCTGAATATATATCTGTCCATTGCAAAGCCGTGTGGGATCAGATGAGCTTTGTTTCCTTAAGAAAACTGGAATTTCCTCTTTCCTCTGAAACCCATGTTAATATTAAAGGTTATGAACACTTTTCAGCTTGGGGTACAGCTCCTGCTTGGTCATGTCCCATCAAAATCAACATTTCATTGCCACTCATAGGTGGTTTTGTTTATCCTTCACAGAATCCTTGGCATTATTAGTTATATTTCCTGAAGTAATTTATCCTTTTTCCAGACCATAACTAGAGAGACCATACCAAATTTCCAGGCAATAAGACAAGCAACAGTTTCTTGTCTTTATCAAGTGCAAAGTATAGACAATTGAACCCATTGCAAAGATAGAACATGACAGCAATATTTAGACTTGAGGGTGAGAGGCAGAAGTAGCAGAGCTTCTGTATTTATATGAAAGATGAGATGAAGTTTTGCAATTACATAACAGAAGGGATTATATTGTGCCAGATTCGTTTCCAGAGCCACGTATCTCAGAGAAAATCCACATTTTTGAATGAGAGACCACAAAGCTGTGCAGATAGATAAGCTATGAGAATGCAATATCAGCTTCCTTTGGGTTTGGTACCTTTAAGTGAAGTAGACAATGCGTTCTGGCTTTGTCTCAGCACGGTTTTAGTTGCATCCTCAATTTTCAGGTGGAATAAAAAGACTGATTCAGGACATTTGGAATTTATTACAGAGAGGAAAGAGGTAAATCATTGATCTTTTCTTGATTTGTGTTTGGATTGTTCCCAGTAGCTGATTCCTACAATATGTAAGTGAAATTATTCTTTCTTGCCTTTCACTGCATGTGGGTCTGTGCCTAAAGGGCATCAATAAATATTTAAACAGATTGCACTAGTGAAAATATATGTTAAACACAAACCCCAAAAACCTCAAAAATTGCATGATGGAAATACAGTGATTCATAAGTCTGGGCACTGGAGTTAATCTCTGTCTCTTACAGAAACTGTATCTTCTCTAACAGTCGTAGGAAATGCTACAAGTCATTCCAACCTAAAACCTTACTGAGATTATCCATTATTGTAGGTCTACCTTTAAATAAAAAACCAAGAGAAGGTCAAACATTCGCTTTCTTATGCTGCATGTTCACAGTCAAGTGTTAGAAATTAAGTCCTACAAAGTACATGGTTTGGGTGAGGGGCTTTCCTAGTTCTCACTGCACTGTAAATAAAATTACAAGAAAATAATGAGATGGGCTCACAAAAATGCTGATCATATAAGATCCTAACACAAACAAGAAATGAGTGTTCTGGGAGTTGTGCTTCAAAGAATAATGAGCTAAGGGCAGGAGACAATGGGCTTGGGAAATCTCTCAGAAGTTAATGGTACTTGTAGCACTGTGGTATCAACTAAGCTCTGTGGCCTTTTGTAGAAATTGTCACAACACCACAGGAGGGACAAGGCATCTGCACATGGAGTAGTGGGAACCACAACAAAGTCTACTTTTCATCTTGGGTTCTTTTTTCCTGACACAGCATTTGAACAGATTTTGGGTGAATGAATGCTATTAAGTTTTATGCCAAAAGTGTTAGGGGATGAGTTTTCCCTGTGTTTCTATACAAGTTGAAGTAAGTGAATCTTGAAAAAAAGAAAACTCTTAATTTATTTTCAGGCTGAATAGACATACCTGCTCTGTTCTTACTCCATTCTGTGTTGCTTACTCCGAAGCACAAACCATTTTCAATTACGCAGCTCGAAAGATCTCACTATACTGACTGACTTCTGTCCCATATTCTCACCTTCTGTTTTAGTTGTGTTGTGATAAGTGCAAGAAGAGGAATTTGTATGAGTTTCTCTTGCCAGATTTTTGAGGCTTTCCTCATTGTATCAGAGAAAATACTTGTCTTAACTTACTTAAACGTATACATGGGGTATATTGGGAAAGAATGTCTCTTTCTCAGATCATTTTCCCCCTAAAAAGATCCCAAATATGAGTTTCTCACTTTCTAGCCAATATATAATTACTCAGAAGTTCCAGTAATTTTTGGAAGAGGTCTTCTGCCTTCTGCTTTCATTTCCTCCCTTTTATTAGGAAACTCTTTGTTTCTGCATCTGAAAGTGAAGAAAAGTACACTTCATTAAGTCTACAATTGTTTAGAACTCAGAAGTGTAGATTGATTAGCACATACTCTACAATAGCTCTTATAATTAACAGCTTTAAATAAATGGGTTTTAAACTATTCTTACAGTTTCTAGTGCTTTTTATACAGTCTAAACATGCTGTGTACACTATTCTTTGACTCTGCTGTGTTCCTGGAGGGGAATGAATCAGAATATTCTGAATGCCTTATGTAACGTATTTAGAGAACGTTTTTTTCGTATCTTTGTTTGAATTTCTTGGACGGAATTAATTAATGGCAAAGTATAAAGGCCAACTTTGAAATCCCAGCTGACTTATACACTAGAGCTCAATTTGTATTCTACATCAAGGAAATGTTTGGATTTGAAAGAAGGACACCATTATCAAAAAGATTTCTGTAGATGACTCTGTTCGTCAGAGCCACCATCTCTTTGCCACAGAAGTGCAATTTTAAAATTTGGGTAACTCAAAAAGAAATTATTTTCTGATCAGAGTACATATATTTAATTCTTATTAAAAATTAAATTCAGAACAGGAAATAGTAACTGAATTGGGATATGAAAAAAAATTTAAAAGTTGACTTTGTTTAAAACAATATTAATTTCAGACAAACAGTATAGAGAATAAAGTCTGTAGCCTGCACTTTTATAGTCCAGTGGAAACCTGGTGGGGATAACAGCTTTTAGGAAAGAGAGAGATTCTTTTTCTTTTCATACTCATGTTTGCATTTGTAACTGTATTTCTTTGTACAGTAGTACACTACTGCAGTAATATGTAAGAATTTTTAGTTTCTTAGTATAAATTTGGGTATAAATTTTCTGACTTCAGTGAAGGCAGTGCAATAAAGATAATTTGCATCAGTTTCCAAAGAGTTTGATCAGTGGATCACTGCAGCACCAGGGAAGTTGGCAGGAAAATCCTGCTTTTGTCTTTGTGGAAAAGGGGCTATTCATGAAATGCCACTTTGTGATTTAGACAAGTAAAGCAGTAGCTGATAGTATATTACTGTGTGCACTTCATCCCTCTGCCTGCTCCGACGTGGGACGGGCAAAGGAGAACAGACAGGTCCTGCTCACACACCTACGCCTGCCCAGACTCCAGGTTCTACATACAGGGAGGGCATTCCTTGTAGGCAGAGCAGCTCTGCCAAAGTGCTAAGAGAGGAAATAAAAAAAACATCATTTGGGGCTATAACACAGTCACCAGCTTCTGCTGAAGCTGCTGGAATTTCCCCAGAGTTCACTGTAGGAGCAACATCAGCTCTTGGTCTGTAGGTGGTGTGGCCCAGGGGAAGTCGGACACCCGGAGTTTGTGGCTCTGTGTTAGAGCTGCAGAGGCAGAACACTCAGCAGGGAAGGGCCAGAGGGCTTCCAGTTCATGTGTTAAGTTCGGGAAGTACAGGGGAATGTTTTCCAGTCTAGAGGTCTCAAAGCTTGGAAGAACCAAGCTTGCTGATTTTTACTGATCTATTTGTTATGTTCTCAGGCCTCGAAGTTTGTGTGGTCACGCAAATCTGTGCAGAGTCAGTTAAATGGTCCAGTAGCTCCTATACAGGGCCCAGCACTAGGGTGTTAAGACTTCTAGGTAGATGGAAGATCTTGTCTTTATGTTTTCCAGGATTATTCTCCCTGTCAAAGAGAAACTGGACAGGAGGGACTAGAGTTTTGATAACATCTTCTATGCTTTTAAATATTTGTAGTGTGGAAAAAGGGTTGATTGGGATAGTGTTTTCTGGTTTTAAGATAATTTTTCTTCTCACATTAGCAACTCTATTTTTCTTCTCAAACATTATCTATTTTCTGACTCAATTATTTATCTCTGTGGCACCTTGATGTGGTCTTTAGAAATGTTAAACACTGTCCCGTGTTTAAACACTTCACAGTGGAGCATTAAAGACAACTTTGTAGCTTTGAGCTCTGAATGAGAATATTTATTGCAGTCCCATCATAATACCTTGTCCTATTTCTCTGATACCAGCAAACTTCCACATTCCTTCAAGAGACAGGGAGTTAGGATTGGAACAGTAGCTGGTGTACAGAAAGTAGCCCAGCTTCTCTGGCCTGTTTGATACTGGGCGATCGTGGATTTCCTCCAGGGCTGTCGAGAGCGCTGTGGACAAGCCTGTGTTTATAGTCCTGCAGTACAATGTGAGCAGTGGCACAGAAATGCTGCTGGGCTCCTGCCAGAGGGCCACACAAAGGCAGCCAGATCATGTCCCTGCAATGCAAATGCGATGACAGTGGCAGCACGGGAAGTCTGGGGGCACAGCCACCTCCTCCTCTCTCCTGCTCACCCTCCCCAGTTCTGGTACTGGGAGAACATACTGCTGAGGGGGAGGTTACCAGGAGCACTGGCTGCAGAGAGATTTTGGTAGGCAGACTGCCTTCAGAACTCCAAGTTTGTGCCCATCTGGCTTTGGGATGGGACTAATTATATGCCAGGACTCTTACTGACCCTGCACTTCAGGTGTCTTTGGAGTCTGGCTGGTGGCCAGAGTGGGCAGGACCGTTCCCTCATGAGGCCCCAACACAACTTCCAACAAAACCTCTCTTCTCTGTGCCCGAATGAAGGGACTGGCAGGAGCCGGAGGAGGAGCCCCGGGAGGGCAGTGCGGAGCCCTCAGTGGGGGGAAGGACCCTCGGAGAAGTTCCATCTCCAACGGGAGCAAGGGTGGCTCCTCCAGCAAGGATCCCTGCCGGGCACCCTGAGCACGAGGTACAGCACTCCTGGGGCACAGGGAGATTGGAAAGAGGGAGAAGAGGGAACTGGAAAAGAGCTGAGCAACTAGGAGAGGAAGGGGATAAAGAGAGCAGAGAAATGAGGATGGAGGGGCTTGGAAGAACATCACCTACTGCCTGCAGGGAAAATAAGATTAATTGAGAGGCTCAGATATGCAGAAAGTAGGAAGTATTGGTGCTATGGGGAGCAGAAGGAGAATTCACTGTACAATTAATGGCTTGATGAGATCCTGAGTATGCAACGGCTGAGTAGTTTGAGTGGGAAGACCCACGTTATGTGGACAAATCTGACACGCATTTTTCTTTACATTTTTACTTTGCTTACATTTTTTTGTCTGGTTCCCACATGTCTCCAGAATTTATCAACATACAGTTGTATTCTTCTACATTGCTGATCTTCTCCTAAGCTATGAAGTTGGAAAACTATCTAAAAACAACTTTCAAAACCAGAATTTTCCTTCCTGAAATCAGCACATAAGGGATTCACTGCATCTCAGTCCATCAGGTTTCCCATCTGTTCAAAAAGATGTGGTTACTTCTGTGAAATAAATACTTTTCAAAATTTATTTTTGGAGGAGGGGAGTACATGTGTATGTTTTGGGAATAAGATGTAAGAGATGGTGCCCTCTTCTGAAGGGATGGTTAGACCTGCTCTTTAGCGTGTGACAAAGCTCAAATATGGTTTGTTTTCTTGGTTTTGAATGCCTTTGGATCCCAGATGCTCAAGGATAAAGGTTTACTTGTTTGTATATTGCTTGTTTTCTGAGTGAAGTTTTATTTATTTATATTTATGCAGAATGCTCTATTCTACTGGGTGGCATGTCAGACTATTTCTTTTGGCACCTATTTTAAAATATAAGTGCTTTTACTGTGCAGCTGAAGTGGTTTTGCTTCAGGTCCCCTTGTAGTAAACCCCACTGGAGTAGTGGCTCACTACAAAATGAAAAGTGAATAGTACTTGGCTTTATAAATGTCATACATATAGCCTTCCATTTTCATGCCTCTCACATGGGCCAGCATGCTTGGATTTACTGATTTATTTTTTGCATTTTAATTCAAATTGGAAAGTTAGTTATGTAGGGTGTTAAGTTCCAGCTGTCCTTATTTTGATATAAGATTATTTACTGCTTGATTAAGAAAACTCGTCCAGAATAACACTGTATATGTCACAACGGAGTACTTTCTATACAAAATGTAATTTTACAGTTTTTCCCTACTGACATTCCTCCTAAGACTTGTTTGGTATTTGGAAGGCACGCTGAGGACATTCCCAAGCTGGCCAGTACAGCTGTGGCTTAAGCCTTATCCTGTCATTACTAAACACACAAACCACACACCACACACAGGATGGATCTCCATCCATGGGCTGGCTACAAGCCAGGCCTAAGTCACTAGGTAGGATTTGCTCAAAAAGAGAAGCCAGAGCTGGAAGCAGCAGGTACAGGGATGGATCTCAGCCATCTCTGGGAATGTGCGTGTGCACACGGTCCGGCTCATGGGGCTCTCTCGTGTCCTCGGGACACTGGGAACGCCATGGGAGAGAACAAGTCCCTGCAATTCATCCTGCAATTTCTCTGCTGTGGAGCCAGTCTGGTGATGGCAGCACGAGACTCTTCTTTCACCTCTCTGGTAAATACAGAAAAGGCAGCGCCACAACACAGCCTTGGTGACCCGCTGGAAGAGCAGTGGGGACTCTGCAGAGGGGTCGGGCTCCCCACTCCCCTGTCCTTCACATGTCTGACCCATCCCCATGAGCTCTTCGCTCCTCTCAGGTGAGGGGCTGACCCCACGCTGGCAGGAAAATGTTACACCCACCTCTGCCTTAGCTTTTCTTGGCCACCGGCTGCTAAAATCAGCCTGCGGATGTCTCACCTTCTGGAGCAACACTTCAAGATCTTCATTTTCATTCAGAAGGTGCAATTTTATGTTTTGAGTTGTGCTGTGAGGGAATGTTGCTGTTTGATACTTTTCTACAAATATAAATTTCAAGCTTTAAGGCTTAAGACATACGGTGGAGAAAGTATCTACCTTTTTTCGTGCTTATGCCAATAACTGTGAATGTAAATAACTACATTAATGAGGCTTATTGGAAGCATTTTATTAGGGAATGTGAAAGTCATTAATTTTTCGGTACAAAAGTGTAAATGACCCTTCTTATATTTGTATTGGAAACTATGAAACTTAATTTCTGTGCATACAAGAGCATTTTTGTCCATCACAGTAGCCAAAGCACTTTAGTAAGTCATTGTAGTTTGAAATAGCACTGTCATTTAGCACTATCGTTTTTTTCCTCCATGGCCTTACATTCCCAAATTCTTTCATAAAAGACAGTAAATGTTTGTGCGAATGTAAAATTAAAAGCATGGGTGATGCTCTCTGGGTAGAATCCTCATTTTGGCAGCTGGTTGGAGAATGAATAGGCATCGTTACTACTAAATGGAAAATTTCCTTTACCTGAGTAGCCAGCTGGTTTTGCTACTGGTCTGGTAGGACATTTGTTTTAGAACTCCCAAGTGTTAAAATCATGCTTACTCTGTGGGTCCTGTTCATGCCAGCAGCAAGATAGTGGTGGACACTGTAGAAAGACATACAAATAAGGAATTGATTAACTTAAGGTGTTTTCATAGGTCTTAAAAATAATCAGTGATTTATCTTAAAAAATCTAGTGTGTTCATTTTGAGTTAAATAGACTAACAGATCAAGCCAAATGTTATAGTATATATTTTGAGTTTGCTCCAGTTCTGTTTGCTGCTATTTGCATCTATAATTGAAGCCTTTTGAAGTTTCACAGACAAAAGCTCTTGAAAATCTCAGTGGGTTTGGCTCTTCAGAATGGTGATGTTTCAGCTGGTGATGTCATAATAGATTTTTATTATAGAGAACTTTCTTCTAAGGGAATGCATCTGGCACAAGTATAGCGCTATGGGAATTACTGGAAGTTAGTAATTGTGTAAGGATAACACTCAGAAGAGTAGGAATGCTGGACCAAGGCATGGAAAGAAGGCCCTTTGAAGAAGGTGGAGAAAGAAGGGGTAGGCACACTCACAGAGGTGTATCGTGGCAAAACGGAAACAGAACATGACTAGAAGACAGAAACCTAACACTAGATTTTTATTCCCTATTAAACAGTGTAGTGAATTGTTGTGTAAGGATTGTAGAAAATCCACAGGAGGAAACCTCCTACCAAGAAACAGTTGCAGAAACATACCCCTCCGAGGTCTAGTGCCGTCTTTATCTACAACATCATTTCTGTTGTTTAACTCCAATAGTTACGAAGTGTGTCAAATTCGTGTGGAACAGAACCAATTTCCTTGGTCCTAAAATAATAATTTTAACATCCTTCTCATTTCTAACAGCAACAGGAAAACCAACAAAAGTTGGGAATAGTTTAAGTGCTTCCCTTTTGTGGATGCACACATATATAGCACACAGAGTCCAAGTCACAGAGTAACCACAACTGTCACATGCACTGGACAACAGCAGGTCTGTGTGTTTTTCCTTAAGGCCTGAATCAGCTGAGAAGAAGTGCCATGTTGAGCAGTACACTGCTTTTCTCTGGACAATTCAATGTGTGAATTATTTCACTATTGTTTCACTGTTTCCCTATGCACTAGATTTCAAAAAAAAAGCAATTTTATGTATAGAGTATTTAAGCACCCGTTAAGGCCTGCTCAGATTTGCTGGGATTACACATAAAATCCTGCCATGGATGCAGAGAATACTCAGCTTCTCCCTCCAAAAGGCTAGTCGTGCCTTCACATATGAGGAGTTATTTATTGAGTGCAATGATAACAGCGACCATATTGCTGTACTCCCACACTGACGCAAATGTTGGCAAAAGCTACTGTGCCAGCTGCCCACTTTACACACTCTAGTGGCACCTTTTCTCTTCCTCAAATCCATAAATTGCCATTATCATGCCATTAATGCTCAAACATTGACAGGTTTTTTTCTGCCTCACATATTTCTCAGAAAATAAAAGATGAACATGGATACCCAGGAGTCTGTAAAACCAGACCAAACCCAGCAGTTAAGAATTGTTCGATGCCAGAAAATGCCCTGGAGTCCTCTGTGGGAACATTATTGTAGAGAACCAAGGATTAATGCAGAGATTGAGGAGATTAAACCTTAATTAAAATGAGCGCTTGTGTGCACTACATACAGCAGACAACTATTCCTTTGGCTATAGTGAAGCAGGAGTCTTCCTGCAGTTACACAGGTCATGCATCCCGTCCTTCCCAAAGAGTGGCTTCCTGCAGTGACTGCTGGAGGATGCGCAGTGTCAGTATAGGAACACACAGCTACAGAAGACTCCTCATGGCACAGTGCTTCTCTGTAACAAGTTGAGGTGACTTCCATAATCAGCATTTATGTCTGAACTGTACACATGGTTTTTGCCCTTCTGTTCATGGACTGTGCTGCTCCAGCCCATAATGGTATGTTCACTATCAAGTCAAAACCTGGGAGCTGCATTTCCCACTTGAGTACACAGAACTGGAGGTGATGATCATTTCTGTTAAGTTTTCATCTTTAGAAGTATTTATTTCAGATCTAAGATAGTCTCTGCCTGCTGGCCTCCAAAATAGGCTGTAAGGGCATATTCAAGACTTGAATTTGTGTCCCTTTTCACTTCTAAGTATGTTGACATAATTTTCTAATGCAGTAACCTTTCTCATATTTAAAAACTAAATAAATCAAGATAATTTGGTGTATACCGTTTTTATGATTGCATAATAATTTTTCTCCGTTCATGAGGGATTTTATACTCTGTACACTTGTGATGAACAAGAGGCATGTAAAGATCAAACTGTCATTTATTGATCATTGAAACAAGAGGAAAAAACCTGCAATGTTTTAGGTACATTCTTTCAGAACTCCAAGTTCTGAACTCCAAGTCACTTCAAGTATTTTGAAATAGAAACAGGGAATATAAAAATATATCTAAATGATGTGCCAACACCTTTCCAAAGTGCCACCAGTACTGTTCTTGTCTGGAGTTTGTGTAAAGTCAAAAGGGATTCACTGTTTGAATGTTTTCAAAACTCCTCATGTTGTAATTCCCTGTTATCCAATATTTTCTTATTCTCAGTAGGACATTTAGCAGAGAGATGAAACCCGAGTAGGCCGTAATGAATGCTTTCAGCAGTTCTCCTTGCATATTCACAGCTGTGTGGAACTAGTTACTCTTAAGTGGAAACCTGAAGGGTCTCTACGTTGTGATGGTGTTTGCCAGTGTCCCCTTCTGACTTAGTCAGTACTTTGGTGTAATGTTATTTTTGGGACATGTTTGATAGCTTAGAAGCAAAGTCTAGAAATAGACATCCACATGTACATCTCTTAAAGCACCAGGTCTTCTGCTGATCAGACTCTCTGATAACTTCCTTCCTTTACTTTATTCAGTTTGCTGCACTTAAAGCATTCCTCAGGATCATTGCCAAATTATTTGTTTGTAGTTTCAGGGCATATTAGTTTTAAATTACTTGAGGTGGTGTCATAACAGGTATAAAGTAATTATTCTAATCTATAATTAATTCTTGATTAGTTATGATTAATAAAAATAATTCTAATAACCTCTTGAAATACAGTGCCATCAAGTTCCATGTCTCTTTTTAGAACGTTTTCCTGTGAAAATCCTTCTCTGCTGGTCCACTGAGGCTATTTGGGCTGAGTCCCTCTGCTTGAACCCTTGTGTTGAAGTCAGTGAACTTCCTTCTTGGTATCACTCTGGGAAGAAAGAACATAATCTCTATCTTAGGCAACTTCATAAGAGATTTCATCCTGACAGTTTTCCTTACTCTCTATTCCTTACTTGGAAAATACAGAGGTGTTATATATAAATAAACAATAAATATATTGTATATGCTGTTATTAGGTGAGCAAATGAAAAAGGCAACTTGGCAAAAGAGGGTTGAGAGGAGAAGAAGGAAAACCATGAGTTTGGTGCAGAAGGAGAAGCAAAGAGTTTGCAGAAGCAGAGAAAAGATGTTTCTTCAGAATCCTAATAAGCAGTATTAGTGACTTTTAAAATAATAGTGTTTGCTGGGACTTGTACAGAGGAGCACTAAGTAAGCTCAGCTGTCTGGTGACCACCAAAAGATACTGCTCTGCAGCCACCGCCTCCAACACAAACAGCCAGCTCCATTTAAGTGTCCCTGCTGGAGGCAATCAATCACATACGCAACAGAGCAGTGATAAATAAGGTCTGCCGTTCATATACGTCCAGTTACTTTTGCAACTAAGCTATATTGGTGTCCAAAAGAAATATTTGGATGACTGAATGTCTCCCTCCCAGGAGCAGACTAAAAAAAAAGAGTGCACATTGTCAGCATAGGTCAAGAAACAAGTGAAACTCAGAACTGCATGCCTGGATGCATTTTGTCTTCCGAACCAGAGCGGTGCCACCCTGGGCAACCTTTCGGGAGACGTCGGTGCCTTAGGCTTAAGTACCTCATGTCAGAGTGAATGAAGAGATCCAGACAGCCAGCTTACTGCTTAGGATGGAAAACAATGCACCAAATGGAAGGAGGAGGAGTGCTCTAAGAACATTATGAAAATTGCAGAGATAGTTTATAGAAAAGTGTTAATAGAAAAGATATCTTTGAGCAGAAAGTCAGCTTCTTGAAACCCCCCTGGCTCTGTGTTTCTCAGTGTGATGACAGCAAAATAGTTTAAAAACATTGGAGTTTGTGGTTTTGTTTTTTGTTGTGTTTTGTTTTTTTTTTTGCTATTACTGCCTGCCCCACAAAGAACACTTGTTTTAGAAATTCCAGTCCAGTCTGTACCTGCACATTGTGGGTTACCAGCTCTCCAGAACTGTCTCGAGGAGTCTGTCTGAAGTACGATGAGCTCAGCTGGAGATGTAGCTCCAGTGAGAGACACAGATTCAGTCACTTGGTGGGCACAGGGCAGCAAAGCAGGAGACTTGCAGCTGGTGTGTGCAGCAACAGAGGCACAGAGCTCAGTGGGGCTCATGTCACCAGCTCACATTTAGGAATTCAGTAATAAATATGGGAAGGTCTCATTTTCTTAATTGACTGGATCTAGGGATGATCAGTATGTCATTACTGTTTTTCCCCCATGAAACAAGAATATGCAATATACCTTCCCCTAGTCTTGAGTTTTTTATCTCCTCTCTCTCTCTCTTTTTGGACATTCTCTCTACCAGAGCCATTCTGCAGGGTTTAGGGGAAGATGGATGCATCTGTGGTGTTTGGATTTGTTATGCCTGTGATTTTTCATTGTAAAGCCAATGTTAGGAGCTTTAACAATTTTTTCCTCGAGTTTGGCCTTGATCTTACTGCCAAGGAAATGTACATCAAGCAAGATTTTGCATTTTAAGGAGAAAAGCACAAACAGAAAAAAAAATTGTCAAGTTTTTGATAAAATATGCATGTTCAGGCTGTTTTCCATTTGAGAGGCTGATGAAGACCAGCAGGAAAAACATTTAAATATTAACTAATTTCAGAATTACAGCTTTTTGAAGAGGACCAAAAGATCCCAGATATCCCTTCTGTTTATAACTAGTGTAGCAACAGGGCAGAGGTGAAATTTCCTTCCTTGTTTGTCTTTTAAGAA